TTTCAAAATGAAAAGCATTTTAATAGAGAAGATGTAAAAAAAAACAAAAACCCCCAAGGCTCTAAAGGCGCTAAAAGGCCCTGCGCTTCTAGGGACTCCGCTGACGCTTCGGGGGCCAGTAGACACTGAGCAGCTTTGCAGCAGCAGCAGCAGTAGCAGCCGCAGTAGCAGCAGCAGTAGCAGCAGCTGTGCAACAGCAGCAACAACCGCAGCAGCTGCGATTAGCTGTAGCTGCAGAGGCAGCTGCGGCAAGCTGCAGCAGCTACCAGTTGCTGCAGCTGTGCCAGCAGCTTCGCGTAGCTGCAGCAGCAGCGCAGCTGCAGCACAACTGCAGCAGCCGCGCTACAGCGTCCTTTAGCTAAAGCAGAAGCGGAGGCCCTAGTGAGTTTTGTTTCTTGTCTCTGTCTGAGCTCGTTTGATTCTTTTTGCTATTTAAAAGCATCAAATTAAATTTTTAGTTCATTGTCAAACCAGATTCATTTTATCTTTTTATTTCCAAAAGCAGCACTTCTCCTTTTGGCCAGCGTGGCGCTGCACAGCTTGAAAGCGAAACTGAAGGGCTGCACTTTGCTGCTCGCTGCGAGGTATGTATGCAGCAGCAGCAGCTGCTGCTGCTGCTAGGGTAGTAGCAAATGCTGCCGCTGCTGCTGCTGCTGCACCAGATCTGTCTCAGTGGCCTCCCGGGGGGTCGGGCCACCAGTAGCTAATGTCCTCCCTCTGCTGCAGCTAGTTATTGTGGGGCCCCCCTTTGCCTCTCAGAGCTGCTGCAGCACGAACTAAGCAGCAAAGAGTCGAACTTGAGGCTCTGTGGTCCATCTAGAACTCCTTTATCTTGCGGAACTACGACATTTAGCAGCAGCAGCAGCAGCAGCATAATTCGCTGATAAGTCTCAGGCTTTTGCTTTTGCTGCTGCTGCCTGTCGAAGCAGCAAAAGAGGCCGAGCAGCGCTGCTGCAGCTCTGCTGCAGCTCTGCTGCTGCCAGCAGCCCCAGGGCCTGTTGCTGCTTCCCGTAGCTGCTGCACTGGGGGGGGCAGCAGCGGGAAGTGCGAGGTCTTTAAATGAACAAGAAGTGCCATTATTTGTTTTTTTTAAACTTCAAGATTTGATTTACCTTTTCAAAAACTTGAAAATTTATGCCCGAGGCCCTTCTAGCCCCCAGCTTTGCGCAGCAGCACAGAAGGCAAAAGAGCTGTCCCGGGGCCCCTGGCTTTGGGGCCTCGCAGCTCGTTGCCTCCAAAATGTGTTCTTCTCATTTCCCAACTTAAATGATAAAAGAAAAAAGGAAAACTTTCAAGTCTTGCAGCTTCCTTTTCCCGCTTGGGGCCCATCAGCCGCTGCAGTTACAGATGCCGCTGCTGCTGCTGGTCAAGTTCTTTTTCTCTTTTTCATTTTTAATTTTTTGCTAAGAGACCTACAGGGGCTGCCGTTTACTTTAAGAAGGTTTCAGTATTCTATCAAGACTCAAAAAGGGCTTTTCAAACTTTCAAGAGTTACCCCCTTGGAGCCCCTTTTGTGCCGCTTGCTGCCCTTCTGGACTTCGCATTATTAAGTTGGAGTCATTGCATGCACTTGGAATCCTTCAAGATGAAAACGTCTTCAAAAATAAAGAACATACTTCCCTTGGCTTCTGTGAAAATGGTAAATTGAAACTGTAGAGGTCCCCCTGTGAGCCTTCAGCGGCTTATTCCGTGGAAAAAAACCAAAAAAATGTAAAATTAAAATAAAACCATCGGACAAATTGGGCAAGAAACAGGGCTCTTCGTGGGGCCAAAGCCGGGAAATCCAGCCCTCTGTGGACTTCTTTTCATGGATTAAAGGAGACTTGACACAATTAGCGTTTGTGGTGAATCTTGTGGATTTAAAAATTTTAGAAACTGTCCCGAAAAAAGACTCTGCCGCCCGGAGTTGCTGAATTGGCTGAGGCAAGAAAGGCCCTCTTCTCGGCTGGACTTGATGATTTCCTTTCTGGACTTTGTTTGAAGAAGTTTGCAAAAGTATTTTTGATTGAGCAGAAAGCTGAGCTGCAAAAGAAATCGGGGAATTCAAAAAAAGGGAACCTCGTTCCCCACTGCCCGGAGCAACAGAAGGCTAAGTGCTGCCAACTTTGTCCCTAAACTTTCAATTTTGCTCTTCTCGTAAAAGAGTAAATGCAGAACTCTTCTGCATTTGTCTCTGTTGTTCTTGCTACTCGCATTCGTGCCCGATTTTCCTCATTAAAGACATTATTAGCCCATTAAATGATTTTAAAAAAAACCCTTTTGGGCCTTTTTCCGAGAACATCTCTCCCCCAAATGCCCCCTCTAAGGCTGCGCTGTTTGCTGCTGCTGCTGCAGCTCTGCTGGCAGCAGCTTTTGAGGCCTCCTGAGGGCCTAGGGGGCCCTATCTTCTGGAGTCTGAGTCCCTTTGCACGCAAATTGTTTCAACAAATATCATATCTACACCTTCTGAATTATATGACTTTCCTGATTCCCAAGATCGCTTTGGGCCCCAGTGGCCATATAATATATATATAATTTAATGGTGAGGGGCCCCCTCACGCCCTTTATATATATAAATATATAATGAAATTGTTTGGGGGGGGGGCCCCCGGGACCCCAGACTCTTGAGGCTGAGGGAAAAAGAATTAAAAGTTTAGAGTTGGGGCCTCCCTAAGGTTTAATTACTCTGGGGGACTCTGTCGCTTGCGGGAAGCAGTTCAGTGCAAATAAAACCATTTTGGGTTTTTTTCTTTTCTTTCATTTTCTTGAAAAGTTTCAAAAGACTTTCTTAGAAGGCAGGGGACTTGTGTGGGAGCAGCGAAGCCTCTTGCTTCGCAAAGAGAAGCAAAAATAGATTAATTTGGAGTCAAATTGATCTTTTTTTGCTGCTTGTCTTTGATCTACTTTTGCAAAAAATTAACTAACTTGTCCCCATTCTACTTTGCCTCTTTTTGTCTTTGCTGCGCCCTCAGCAGCTGCAGAAGAAGACCCCCATTTATTTGCAAAGTTTATTTTTTAGTTGAAGTTCTTATTCTGCAAAGAATGAATGCGCGGCAGCGGGAGGAAAAGAGTGAATGGGAGATAAAAAGACAAAAAGAACCCACAGCATCAAGAAAAAGTAAATAAATTGGTAAAAGAAAGACAAAATGAACAAAGAAAATAAAGTAAACAAATAAAATGGTAAAAGGAAGGGAAATAAACAAAGAAAATGAAATGTGTAGAAGTACAGACAGAGGAGTGTGCGATATATGCTCAAGTGCTGGGCACCAGAAACATACGGATTGAATGAAACAGAGAAGGAAATTAATAAAATTAATGAAATAAATGAAAGAATAAAATAAATAAAGTAAATAAAATAATGAAATAAATAAAAATAAATAAAATTTAAGAGGAAAGGTTGGTTCACAAGTCTAGATAATGCAAATGAGCATTCCACCGAAGCGCCAAGACCAACAAGTATTTGCAGAGAGCAGTGCTTCTGCAGGTAAATGGCGGAACAATTCGCCATTAATAATTTAAATAATTGAAATTATTTATTTTAAAATGAAAATAAACAAAAAACAGTTTCTAATTTGAAAAATTAAATCGAAAAGTTGAATGCGCGATAGAGGCTGTACGTGGAGCGCTGCTGCTGCTGCTGAGGTGTACAGACACTGCGCGCTGCGCTGTGCTCGCAGCAACAACAAGCGGCAAGCTGGGAGAACGCACTGAAATCCTTTCAATTTGAATTTAATTAATTAAATTAAATGTTTTTAATTATTTAAATTGCAAAATTAAATTTGTTGCGCACCCCAGGGACAGCAGATCGTTCTCCTGGGGGCGAGGCTCAAGCTCGGTGGAGTGTTTGCAAACTGCGTCGGCAGCTGGGTTGGGGGTTTAGGGTTTAGGGTTTAGGGTTTAGGGTTTGGTCATATATCGATTTTAATTCAATTCAGCACTTTTTTATTTATTTCTTCCGCTGCTGCAGATCCAACGGGAAAAGAGCCGAGAAGCACCGGCGACAGACGAGCCTAGACACACCAAACCCTAAACCCTAAACCCTAAACCCTAAACCCTCAGCCTTTGCCAGGCCTCTAAACAGTATTTTTGCTTTTGATTTAGCACGTGATGCCCCAAACCCTGGATCCCAAGGAGATGTTGCTGCAGTAGTGAACACAGCAGCATCTACTGCAACTGCAGCAGCAGCAACAGCAGCAGCAAGGATAGCCCCAGCAGCTGCACCAAAGGAACCCTTTTTATCTGCTGCAGCACAAGCAGCAACAAAACAGCAGCAAACCCAGGCTGCTCAGCAGCTGCAGCAGCAATCAATTTCTCAAGCTCACTGACCAAAAGCAGCAACGCCAGCTAGCAGCAGCAGCGGCTACAGCAGCAGCAGCAGCAGCAGCAGCAATGACAGGGAGTTGCCTAGCAGCAGCAAAACGTTCCCTTTTAGATTTTCTTTCTTTACTTTTTATAGGGGCCCCCTTTGACCTCAAACAAATCATACAAATTGATAGACAAAACAATACTGCAGCAAGTCCCACAGGGGCCCCCGGGGTGCCCCCAAGGGGGCCCCCGGAGGCCCCCCAAGGAGGCCTCCAAGAGGGGCCCCCAAGAGAGGCCCCCAGGCCCACAGGGGGGCCCCAAAAGGGGCCTCAAGAGGGACCCCGTTAAGTAGCTGCTTTGGGGGCCCCTTGGGGCCCCCAAAGAAGCTTTAAAGATGCTCTGGGGGCCCCTAAACCCTAAATTTAATAAATGGGGCCCCCAAAAGGTCTACTCGGGGGCCCCAGGGACCCCCCGAGGGGCGTCCAGGGGACCCCCGGGGGGCCTCCAGGGGCCCCCAGACAGTGAAGTACCCTCCTAGGGCTCTTCAGTACCTTTTTTGGGGGCTAGATGGTGCTGTGGGGCCCCCTAGGGGGCCCCAAGGGGCCCCCAGGGGGGCCCCCATTGGGGGCCCCCAGGGGGGCCCCTATAGAAGATGATTTTGTTTTTTAGGGATTTGTTTTTTTGGATAGATTTGAGGTGTACGTACACCTGAAGCAATGCTTGCTGCTGCTAAGAAGCAAACAATTAGTAAGAAGGAGTGGCAGCAGCAGCAACAGCAGCAAATGAAGCAGCAGGAGCAGCAACTGAAGCTGCAGCAGCCACTGAAGCAGCAGCAGCAGCCACTGAAGCAGCAGCAGCAGCCACTGAAGCAGCAGCAGCAGCCACTGAAGCAGCAGCAGCAGCAACTGAAGCAGCAGCAGCGGCTGAAGCTGCAGCAACTGAAGCAGCAGCTGCAGCACTTGGGAGCAGCAGCGGCTGCTTCCGATGCTGCCAACGTTGCAGCAGCTGCTACTGCAGCAGCAGCAGCTGCTGCTGCACCGAACCTTAAACACTAGCCTTAAATCTACACTCGAATCTAAACCCTCGACCTAAACCCTAAACCCTAAACCCTCGCTAGTAGATTCAGCGCAGCACTTTCGATTAAGAAGAAAGCGCGCTGTAGTTGTTGCTGCTGCTGCGGGTGCTGCAGTTGCTGCCGCTGCAGTCGCTGCTGCTGCAGTTGCTGCTGCTGCAGTTGCTGCTACAGCTGCGGCAGGTACTTCTACTGCGCTCGTTGCTGCTGCAGTTATGCTGCTGCGTTTGCTGCTGCTGGCTTTGCTGCTGCAGGACCTGCTCCTGCGGCCTGTGCATTGAAAAACCCTACAGAAAAGCAAAGACAGCCCAAAACGTAAACCCTAAACCCTAAACCCTAAACCCTAACGTGGAGCTGCCCAAGCGTTGGCTCTAAGCCCCTTGCACGTGCGAGCGGCGACAAGTATAAAACCGAGCTGAATTTAGGGTTTAGGGTTTAGGGTTTAGGGTTTAGCGTTTATATTCTAAGGTTTAGTGTTTAGGGTTCAGGGTTTAGGGTTTAGGGTTTAGGGTTCATTGCTTAGAGCTGCTGAGTGATGTCTCGCAGCTTCCCGCGAGACCGCACAGCTCTCGGCGCTCATCCCAAAACCCTAAACCCAAAACCCTAAACCCGAAACCCTAAACCCTAAACCCTAATTGATTTAATTTATTATTTTAAATTAAAAATGGCTAAACGACTTAGAAAACAATCAAACCCTCAAGAGCTGCAGCCCCAAACCCGCGCACAGTCTACCCCCAGGCACTTCGCTACCGCCCCTAAACCCTAAACCCTAAACCCTAAACC